GCCGGGGGCGGGCAGGCACCCGCCGGGAGCTGCCCCCGGGGCTTGCCGTTCATTGCAAGCCCGCCCGGCGCTGGGTGTCGCCACCGTTATAATTCCCCTGGGAGGCGTGGCGTTACTGCCCTTCTCCTGCAGTGCCCAGGCTGTAACTTCAGCCGCAATAAATCCTAGTACTTAAGAACGGCCTTCCTTAAGCCACCTTCCCTCAGTTTCTGCAGTGAAACCGTTACGGGATCTGTCTGCCGTGCTTGCAAAAGCTGCACTAACTTTGATTGCCTTAGCCATAAGAAAGAAGAATTTATCTGGTGTTTGCTCTGTTTCCCTCAGCAAAGATGAAGGTCATCACCTGTGAAATAGCATGGCATAACAAGGAGCCCGTTTACAGCTTGGACTTCCAGCGTGGAGCCGATGGGAAGATCAATCGACTGGCCTCAGCCGGTGTGGACACAGCTGTTCGGGTGAGGTTCAAACCTGTTTGGTTTGGGTTCACAGCATGTGCAGAGCATGAAACGGCTTGTTATCCGAGGTTGGGTTTGCGGCATGTGCAGAGCTTGTTATCCCAGGTATGAGATTATTGGCCGGGATGTGACACCGGTGGTGGATGGGGTGGGGAAAGAGTATGAGATTGTACGGCTACATACAGAATGACTATTGCCCCTGCGTGCTGTCCTTAACTGCTGCTGAGTGTTGGACCGTTATTTTTAGAAAATTACCTGCATTGACTGCTGGGTGATATTCCTGAGTAGTAAATGCTAACCTAGGGCGCAGTCTTGTGGGTTAGTGAGAAACAAAACGTTCACCAAAATTGAATTTTATCTGCCATTTTATAAGTAGTCAGCAGTGTGAGACCTTTCTAGAGCCCTTTTCACTCAGCTTCACATGCAACTCTCCTAAGTAGCTGTGTACTGGTGTTAGCAGTACAACTGAACAACAATTATTCTGTTGTTCATACTTTTGAGAACCACTTAGGAAAACCTTGAATAGCACAAGCCCCAAAACATGGGTCTGCGAGACTCACCTTTGCAAAACCGGGCAATTGTTTAACTGTCTGCCAGATTCTTAATGCATGTGAGGACTGTCCCCTTTGTTCAGTGATCTCTTGGTTTCTCTAAAAGCCTTAGCCCTAGTTGGAAAGCTTTGGGAAACTGAGTGCATTGGGGGAACCACATTCTTTTTATCTGCATGTTAGTCAACTCCTTAAAGTTGGTGGACAAGTGAGGCATAATTTCCTTTGCAGAGAAGTACATTGACTCGATTTTTTAATTTATTTTTCTATTAACAGCTTCTTTGTATGGAAGGTAGACATAGCGGCTGGAGTTTTTCTGGGTCACCCTTAGAGCTCTTCTAAAAAACTGACACGTTTGCTGTGTTTTTTGGAGCTGAGAATGAAACAGAGTAGGTTACCTATCATTGCTGGGCTGTTCCTTTCATGTTTGAGTTCCTGTAGGTTGCTGTGGTATCTGGGCGTGGTGATTTCCTGTAAAACATTGGTTTTGTTTGTTTACTAAAATCTCTACTGCTAACCTTTCAATTTGAGACAGTTCCTCAAACTCATCCTGCAATAAAGAAGGGTTCCAACTTGGGACCCTCCCTGTGCTCCTTAGTAATGAACTCCAATGCAAAGAATTCCTGTAGGTTTTCTGCTATGTGTATTTGTCTGTCTGTCTATTTATCTGTCTTTGCATGGTAATTTTACATTTTAATTATCTTTTGGGCCTCCTCGTGTTCTGTCAGGCTTTCATCATCTGATATATTTGAAGAAGAAATTAAAAATATTGTCATAAGGTCTCATTACATGTGGAATAGACACAGACAAAGAATGAGGTTTTCTATTGTATTGCTGCTGCATTTTTTTCCAAATAGGGAAATGCTCTCTTTTAGCAGAGAATTTGCTAATATAAAGATCAGATCTATACTTAGAATTTGGAATGCCTGGATTGGATCCAGATTTGTTCCTCAGGGTTCTCAATGCAGAATTTTGTGGAATATGCCTATATTTGTTAATGTATTTATTAGCAAATTATTATGAATGGTAAACTGCTGTGATATGTGCACGATTGGAATGCCTCTTTCTTTTGGAGATGATAAATGTCATTAAAAATTAGGGTTTAACTCCAGTAACTGCAGCCAAAACTTTTCCCTTCGTCACTGGCAAATTGACCTCTTACCTGACAGTGTATGAATTTCAGGGGGTTTGGCTGTATGTGTAGGTTACTGAATATATATTTAAGTCATATTTATAAATATACATGTTTTAGGGCCAGAAAATTTTCAGTGTTCTTTAACATAAAAGATGCTACTGCTATGTCTTCTTTCGGAGGACTGTTGCATAAGGAGGGAAAGCAGGCAAAATTACAGAGGTCTTTATTCAGGCTGCTTGCTTCATTGTTTGCTGTATTTGTATCAAGACCTGGTTGCTGGTTTGGGGTTTTTTTTTTCTGAACTGAATTACATCCAAGGGCAGATTTATTTGAAACACCTCATGGGATTTAGCTATCGGTGGTGTTAGTCCCACGATATAGGGACATAACAGTGTCACTCTCATTGCTGAATTAGTTCACAAGTAGAGCAGTAGGAGTGGTGTGACTATGCCCAGCAAAATCAAGAACAAGTGGGATCAGGAATTCCTTAAGCCAGCATTCCTGGAAAAATGTCCACATCATGCAGTTGTCTTAATGCTGTGGTTATGATCAGTGGGGAACCGGTATTATTTTAATTCTTGCTCAAATAATCTGTTTGAAACCAGTAAATCCATTTACCTTCAGGGTATATTGCAAAACTCTTCAACTTGCTCAGACTTCTAAAGAGAGCTAATACTGTTTTTTTTCTCCTGTAATAATCAGGGTTTTTTTCAGACTGTTACTATTTGTCGTTGATGGATTTGTTAACAAGATACTGTAATTCCATACTATTGAATCATGGTATTTATAGGCTTGTCAAATACCCTTGAAGCTAGAGATTGTCAATGAATGAAGAGAGAATGATGGCATGTGTTTGGTTGGGTTTCTTAATTTGTTGGAAATACTCAGTAATATGTTTCATCAGACAAAAAACACTGCAGTATAAATACAGCTTGTGGTGAGTTGACCTTGGCTGGCCACCAGGTGCCCGCCAAGCCACTCTATCGCTCCCCCTCCTTAACAGGATGGGGAGAAAATAGCTCATGAGAAAAAGCTCATGGGTCAAGATAAGGACAGGGAAATCACTTACTAATTATTGCCACGGGCAAAACAAACTCAACTTAGGGAAATCATTATTACTAATTGGCAATAAATTAAAGTAGGATAGTGAGAAATAAGAAGAAAACTAAAAACACCTTCCCTCCACCCCTCCCTTCTTCCTAGGCTCAGCTTCACTCCTGCCTTTTCTACCCCCTCCCCACAAGCAGCGCAGCGGGATGGGGAATGGGGGCTGTGGTCAGTTCATTACACTTTGTCTCTGCCACTTCTTCCTCCTCACACTCTTCCCCTGCTGCAGCGTGGGGTCCCTCTCACAGGAGGCAGTCTTTCACAAACGTCTCCAACACAGGTCCTTCCCATGGGGTGCCGTCCTTCAGGAACAGGCGACTCCAGCCTGGGTCCCCCGCAGAGTCACAAGTCCTGCCAGCAAACCTGCTCCAGCCTGGGCTCCTCTCTCCATGGGTACACAGGTCCTGCCAGGAGCCTGGCACGGGCTTCCCATGGGGTCACAGCCTTCTTCGGGCATCCACCTGCTCCAGCATGGGGTCCTCCCCAGGCTGCAGGTAGAGATCTGCTCCACTGTGGAGCTCCATGGGCTGCAGGGGCACAGCCTTCCTCACCATGGTCTTCTCCACAGGCTGCAGGGAATCCTCTGCTCCAGTATCTGAAGCACCTCCTGCTCCTCCTTCTTCACTGATCTTGGTGTCTGCGGGGATGTTTCACATTTTTCTTACTCTCTTTCTCACAGCTGCTATACAGTGTTTTGCACCCTTTCTTAAATATGTTACCACAGAGGCACCACCAGCCTCACTGATGGGCCAAGCTTTGGCCAGCAGTGGCACAGTATTAAAGCCAGCTGGAACTGGCTCTGCCTGACATGGGGACAGCTTCTAATGTCTTCCCACAGAAGCCACCCTTGAAGCCTCCCCCAGCTACCAAAAGCCTTGCCACATAAACCCAGTACGCAGCTGTAGCCCGCAGAGGGAAAATTTGTGGTGCAACTGCAGCTTTAGCTCTGAAATTTTCAGATAATAAGTTCAGAATGACTGCCCAAAGATTAAATTGTGGATTACTGAAATGGTGCTTATATGCTACATCTTGTTGCTGAAAACTGCCTGTAATGCTTTTGTAACTAGATATGGAAAGTGGAAAAAGGACCAGATGGAAAAGCAATTGTGGAATTCTTGTCCAACCTCGCCCGCCATACCAAAGCAGTAAATGTTGTGCGCTTCTCTCCAAGTGGTGAGATCCTAGCATCTGGAGGAGATGGTGAGTAATAATGCATAATATAAAGAAGCTATGTTTATGCATCTGGTGAGTGAAGGGGGGAAAAAAAAAAAGAGTACGGGAACTTGTTCGTACCCCTTTCACACTTCCAGCTTTAGACTCACATATGCCCTCTGATTGTAATTAGTAAATGTATGTCCTGCAGTTCCTAAGTAACAACTTCTCATTGTCTGTGTGTCTGAGAGGCTCTGTTTTCTAGATATAAAATAATTACTATTCCCATTTTCCACTTGGGGAGGTTGAATGGGTTACCTAGTGTCATACTGGGAAGCTGTGGCAGAATTTGTAAATTTAGGCCTGTCTGTCCAGGGCCACGTGGGTTCTTCAGTCATGGTAAGGACAGCATTAGATAGGCCTGTGCTCCATGAGACTGAGCCGAGCGTGACCTGTCTCAGTGGAAGATTTTCAAAAGCCCGAAGTGCAGAACCATAGCCAGCCCTAGTCAAAAGCAGATTGAAGGCTAAGCACTTAGCTCTCATCTTACACCTGGGAATCTTAATATTCTTTTTTAGTAGATAATTAAATAATTTTAAAAGACGGACATTGATTCAAATCAGTAGCTCAGGCTAGAGGCTAAAGCAGTCTAGCACCTACTCTTCCTGACCACAAGATAAGAACTGCTTTCCATGTGTCTTAAGTGAGATAATTATAATGTTGAATTAAATGTAACGTGAGCAGGAAAACAGAGAGCAGGAGAGAAGGAAGCTTTCTATTATTTCTTTCACAGATGCTGTTATTTTATTGTGGAAGCTGAATGATAGCAAAGAATCAGAACCATTAGTTTTTCAAGATGAAGATGAAGCTCAGCTCAACAAGGAGAACTGGACAGTTGTTAAAACTTTAAGGTAGCTTAATATTTGATGAGTTTGTTTTCTGTTCAGTGCATTTCATTCCCCCGTGGCTTTTATCATCTAGTACAGTCTTCTGTTCAGTGTATGTTGAACTGCATTGCTCTGTAAAATTTGCTTGCTCTAATATTCATTCTTTTATTGTCTTTAACTTTTCTTTTTATACAGTGCCAACCTACAACTTCTGTTAAGGCAGAAGATTAGGCATTTATGTGACATAACTGATGTACTCTGAAATTGGTTCCTGAGTTTTGCAGCCACTTAAAGCTTAGCACAGAGATATATAAAGTAAAAGTGAAGCTTTATTTACTAGCATTGTAGTGGAAATTTTGATGGTTATTAAAGCAAAAAGCATCAGTAGATTAAATGATTCATGCAGTTTTGACAGATGGTAGCTGTGACCAATCTTTTTCAACTAGTTCGTTTTAATAGTTGAAAATCTACTGAATTACACAGCTTTTGTTTCAAGTGTACAATGCTTATCAAAATATACACATCGTGCGTGCCTGCTAAGACTAAGTGAGTATTAGCTGATAGTGGCTAAGGCATCAAACCACTGCTGGCAGTTGGAATACAACTGTGTTCTGTTCTCATTCTCAGCTGAAGTCTGAAAGAAATCAGTGGTTCTGGACTCTGAAGTGCATTTTGGATGTGCAATATGTATAATTCTGCCTTTCTGTGTAGCATGTTAGAAGTTTTGATCTCTATCTGTCTATACTGATAAAATCACTAAGAATTTACACATTTACAAAAAATAAGTAACTGCTATCCGTAACTGATAATTCCTTGCAACTGCTGAGGTTTATCTGAGAACAGTTTCAAAACTGCTAGTGGAATTGCATGGAGAACCAGCATGATCCTTTAGGAACATTAGAGTTAATCTCTCAAAGCAAACAAACTCAGTCCCCCTTCCCTAAATTTGGTGTTGCAAATATTTATTATTAAATTTACCATGCTGTATGATAAGTCTTCAAACAAGAAGCAATACAGTTTGTTTTTGGTGGAGCCCTTCTAGGTGGTTATGAGTATCTTGCAATGTTTGTTCAACTGTATCTAAATCATACTTAATTTTCTGTGTTTCATGTGGTTCAGCTGAGTATGCACGTTTGTTTACTGCTTTTATGAAACCCATAAATATGCAGGAAATTCTCTTGAATCGTGACACTTCCTAATCGCTTAGGTGTAGTGTTTTATTTTCTGTTTGTGCAAATCATAGAAGTGTTCATTTGCAGTTCTCTAGGTACAAATTCATAAATGACTTCAAATGCAGAGTTTTCATTGTCTGTGAAAAAAGACCTGTAGAAAAGGCAGGCTTATTTTGAATTGGAAGTATGATGTGCTTTTTTTAAAATGTTCCACCACCTTCTGAATGTGGAAGTTTTTTTAAAAGCTGAAAGTCATGCTGTTTGTTTTACTTCAGTGGTACTTTATTTGCCTCTGCTTTTTTTTTTTTAACCTAAACATGCACAAAACTCATGTTTACAAGCAGCTGTTAAATTTTAAATTAATAATTGGTTTCTTCTCTTCTGTTTTTTAGAGGCCACTTAGAAGATGTGTATGATATTTGTTGGACCTCAGATGGAAATTACATGGCATCTGCTTCTGTAGATAATACAGCTATAATGTGGGATGTCAATAAAGGTAAATGCTACGTTTGTCATTTGTGGCTCCAGTCCTGATGGAAATGTCTCATGGTATTTACCAAAAGAGTTGAAAGCATCTTTTTTGTGAGAGAGCAGTCCACTTAATTGCTAGAGCTCTGGGATTGTGAGGCAGATAGCCCAGCATATAAAGATACCCTCAGGCCAGCAAAATTTACACTTAAGTAATATCTTCACCTTGGAGTGTTCAGGAAGTAAACATCATCCAAACCCTGCCCCCCCCCGCCCCAAACCTCCTACACAAGCATCTTGTGTATTACTTACTCCACCCCATGCCCCAACAAACAAACAAAACTTGACTGGCATCGGGTAACTAACTACCTAGGTCAAGAATGGGAAGCAGGCATAGGATGCAGGCTCTGTTTTGCAAGATGGAACACTTTTTTTAGGTTCCTTTCAGCAAAACACTTCTGTTCATGCTCATCCCACTGCAGTGGGATTGCTTGTATTCTCCAAGAAAGGCCTGTCTATAGAAGTTCTGGTAGTACCCAGATAGGTTAGGTTGCTTTACAATGGCTTGATGTTTTGTATTAGCAGTGTAGCCATTACTTTCACTTTTATAATTTAACGTGGAAATACTTAACTTGCTCTAAAGTTAACCCTTTGTCTCACATTTCTAATATTTAGTGTCTAATTAAGAAAAACAAAGTAGAATACGGGTTAGTTTTTCAGTGCACGCATACATGAAAATACAAATGTTCTGCTGCTGGCATTTTTCATGTTCTTGGTTTGGGTGCTTAATCTCTCTCCTTTCCAAAAGTCTTTGCCATACGTACATGAATGTTCAATTAAGAGTACGTGTGCTCAGAGCATAAGTATGTGAAGGCACACTGTGGCCAAATGTCTCTTGCATCTCGGACTGTTCGTAACAACTTTGAAGGGACTTATCTATTAGAATTATTGCTAAAAAAACCTGGATGGCCTCTTAAGCTGATATGTTACTTAGATGTAATGTCTTCCATTCTCACTGCTTGCTTTTAGCATGCAATTAATGCCAGGGAGGGCATTTTGTCTTTAGGCAGAGAGACAGCTAGCAAGTTTGGAGTAAGAAGCCACTACTGGAAAATGTAGGTTTTGTGATTGAAGTTGTAGGTACATTGAAGGAAAGAGTATCAAGGATAGCTTCCAGAAATACCCAGGTTAAAAGCTTGCATGGTGTTTAAAAAAAAAAAAATGGCCAGAAGAAAATTAATAGTAAAAATCCATAGGGATGTTCAGTACAAAGAGAGCATCACTTGCTTAAGAAGTCTTTGAGGTACAAACTGTTGGCAGCTTATAAGGTATCCCATAGAAATACCATTAGGTGTTTGGTCTGTTCTTATACTCTGGCATTTGTTGTTTTCCACCGTCTGAGACAGAATACTGCAACAGAAGGGCTTTTGGTATTATGCAGCATGTCCTCAACTCTATTTGTGTCATCTTTTTGAAAAGCTATTGTCTTTGAAACTTGTCAGCTTACAATATTTCTTTGCAATAAAGCAACACTATACTAACAGGAAAAAAAAAACAACCAAACATGTCCCTAGTATTCAAAACATAGTATTTCATGAGGTTATCTGTAACTTTACCTCATCACGATGCTTTGGATCTGAGATGTTCAACTGTGGAACACCAGTGGGGTCAGAGAGCTGATGCCTTTGAGATATCTTCATGACAGAGTAAGCTGTGGAAGAACGTGAGTTAGCACTGCGGTAGAATTGTTTCTGAAGGCTGCCCATGTGTGTCAGCATGTGTGTAGTGTATTTTTTCCACTGCCTGCTCAGCAGAGTAGGTGAGTTTATACAGCCCTAGATAGGAGAGCCAGGCTATCTAGCCTCAGATGAAGTTACGTTTTAATGCTGGAATTTCTGGCTCAGTGTTCAGCCAAATTCAGTTAGCTGTTGAACAGCTAGACTGGCTGAAATTTTTCTAAATCACAAAGGTTTTGAAATACTTAAGGTTTTGAAATATACTCATCTTGCATGTTTAATGCCTAAGCCAAGCTGCTTATCTGAATTAATTTGTAGGGAACAAGCCTTGAATGGGCATGTCACAATTTACTGTACTTGTGAAGATTCTAGAAATAAAGCAACTGTTTCCAATATTCTTGTCAAGTACCATCAAGTTAACAGTTTGTGTGCTTAAAAAATTATTTTGAAATGTTTTGTCTTGTTTTATTTCTGAAATGAAGAAATGTTTTAAAATACATTTGAATTTAGAATCTGGAAATTGTTTGTAATTTCAGGACAGAAGGTTTCAATATTAAATGAACACAAGAGTTATGTCCAAGGAATAACCTGGGATCCTCTAGCCCAGTACATTGCAACTCTGAGTTGTGATAGGTGAGCTGTTGGTCTAAGTGTTTTGCCTTAGTGCTCTTTCTTACTTGAGGATGAATTAAAAGCAAGTGGGGATGGGATAAATGTGACTTTTAATTTTATTCAGATTGTTCTGTAAGAAGGTTGATGTGAAACTAAAATGATACTTTAGTTAATCTTTTGCTTGTGGTAAATGATTCCTGAAGTCTGAGTGTCCAGTCTAAGCAGCAAATAAGTTTACGTAAACTTCTGTAGAAATTTTTTCAGGAAAAAAGTTTTCATGATATTGGTTATTAGAGATACCAAATAAATCTTAAGAGTGCTGCATTCTCTGGTGGTTAATGAGCTAAGAAGTTCATCCTTGTCATTTTACAGAAAGCTATAAAAAGGTTAAGAAATCAGTTAAAAATGTTTTTCCACTGATATCTTTCTTTTTGCCTCTTGCTCCCTCCGTCACCAACAGTTTTGTAAGTGATGTCATTGGGAAAGCAAAACACACACTTCATAAACTTGGCCCTTGTCAGAACTTTGAGTTAGGCTTAAACTGTTTAGGGCATGTGTGCTGCTCTGAAGGGGTTCGCAGCTGGCTAATAAATGCATGTCATCTGGCACCCGCTGCAAAGAAAATTGCTGTAATAGTGGAAAAGTAGTTTTGATTTAAGATTTGCAATAGGCTCAGAAAAATGGTAAGTTAATGGTGACCAGGTCATTATGAGCCTCTGTCTTCTGATAATCCGTTATGTGAGAATTGTGTGCCTTTATTAAAATGAACAGCAGCGAAACTCAAGTAATAGAATGATGCACAAGTTTTTCTTAGAGTGAAGTTGCAAGCAAGGGCATGAATTAACCTGAAGAGGGGAAATCTCCGACCCCCCTCAGCTTTCAGGGGTTAGTTCAACCTTTTCTACAAGGTTAGTGAACAGCATCAGCGCAGCAGGAGTCTAACAGCAGCCGGGCCAGTTGCCAGGACTGGGCACTCCACAGCCCAGGATGGGGAGACCTCTTCCCCCTTTTGGCAGACCAGCTTAGCTGTTATGATATCCAGAGCCAGTAGTTCCACAGCTGTCTCAAGCTGTCTGCCACAGCCTCGCCTTCTCCGTTCTCTTCCTAGCTCTGTCCAGGAATCTTTGTGGAGCTGTTTCAGCACACTAAATCAGCAGAAAGCTATCTGGTTTTTGTGTTAGGTTGGTTTTCTGCCAGCCTAACAAACCAACATAACTCGGTGAAGGTCAGAGCTGGCAAGAAAGGAAGGGGTGGTGGGATGAGCAGTTGGGTTTGCTTAGGCTACCTGCTGTTTTAGCAAGTCAGGCCTGTCAGGGCAGGCAGGGGAACATACTCCAGTTTTCATTTATTTCAAAGGAAACTGAAGCATAGAGATGTAGCCAGTTGTCTTTGAGGTGAGTTCCCACTCCACAGGAACATACTGGCTACTATAGCACAGGTAGGAATGGCGTGGCCATTCACTGTCCACCAATTCCCTCACTCCTCCACAAATGCATATGCTGGTACTTCGCAAACCTTATTGAGACAAATAATTGTCAGTGATTCCTTGGTTATTTAGCTATCAAAATCCATCTGGTGGTGTCTCATGAACAGAGTTACAATTAATGTGTGATTGTCGTTTATATTTGGCAGCCCTGACTGGGAAGTGAGGTGCTGTAGCACTGTGTGAAACCTGGGGCGAAAGCAAGCTGTTCGTAGCTAACTGTGCTCTCCACCTCGTAGGGTCCTGCGGGTGTACAACACGCAAACCAAGCGTGTAGCATTCAATGTTACCAAGATGCCATCTGGATCAGGAGCTGAAGGAGAGGTACATTGTTCTGCTACTAATGGTACTGGAGAATGCACTGGGTGCTATTTTATATGAGTTGTTCCATTCTATGAAGCCAAAGGGGCAAATATTTTCCATTCAAGCAATCTGTATATCAGATGTTTTTGTCTCTCTCTCACCTTTGCATTTCATAAATAGAGACTGCTTCGGGTTTCCTTGAACATTACAGAAATGACTAAGAAAGAACACTTGCAAGTTCAGCTGATTGAAGTAGTAACACAGTGTCTTTGGTTGTAACTGTTAAAAATAGTGTGGAAAAAATAGTGTGCATAGTAAATTCTTAATAGGAAAAACTTTAAACAAGTCTGTCAGTAGCTGTAAGTTTATTAATGGATAATACACAACAATAATACTTTAAGCATTCATAATTTCAGCAGCCTGAAATTTTCAAAAAGCTAGTCTGATTTCTATCTGAAAATAGGAAAAATATGAATTAGTGAAAATCTAGTAAATTCTCTCTAACCCTAAGAGGGAAAACAAAGAGCTTTTTTCCGCAAACGGTTCTAAGGGATACTAAAATAACACCTCCAAGCTGGCTATAAGCTTTTTAATTCCTTCTATTCCTTTTCTTTTTTTTTTTTTTTTTGAAAACATTTGTAATGGTTTTATAGAGAACAGGCTTGAGAGAGGGTGTTCTGCCATTATAGAAGTTCTCTTTATGCCTTTAACACTAGAGTTAAAATTAAATGCCTAAGGAACAGGCTTTTATGTTGACTGTTAAATAATGTTCTCCAGGTTATTACTATTTTTTGATTACTGGTCTAATGTGACTGCTCTTGGAGTGTTTTGATTAGTAGCTGAAGAGGAATCAAGGACTATTTTTCTTAGCTGTGAAGAATTTATAGCACAGCAGAGGGTGAGATCGAAGGAGCTGTGGTTTTTAAAACATTTATCTTTTATTTAAAAAGTTCTGTCAGGTTGGATTGTACAACTGGACAGTTTTTCTTGAATTCCAGCTGACACGTTCTTGGCATTTTACACAATCATATTTTCAATGTTACAGGCTAGGAGCTATCGGATGTTTCATGATGACAGCATGAAGTCATTTTTCCGCAGGCTCAGTTTTACTCCTGATGGCTCCTATTTACTCACTCCAGGTATGTGAGAACGTGCACTATAACTTACATTGTATTTATTGTACTCTAGTTTGAATGTGAATCAAGATTGCTTTCAAACTGCTAGGGGGTGCTTATTTATCTTAATTATGCCATTCCTCATTCTTCCTAGTGAAGAAAATAGAGACCCCACAATACTCTGCTGTTAGCAGTCCAGAACATCAACTTTCTCCTGTGATAAAAATACATTTATGGCATTTTTCTGAACTGAAACATGTAAATTGCAACAATACAGCTTTATCTAAATAGAAATGAAGAATAATGAGTGGTTTCTTTTGACTGGTCTCTGTATCCTTCCTTAAGAACATTCTGCAGTCATAGTAAAAATAACATGGCAAGAAGGGGATCAGTTTGCCCTTATAAGCACTGCTTTTGGAGATGTCTGGCAACATCAAAAAGCAGCTTTGTGGGGGAGGTATATAAGGGAAACAAAACCAGCCCTAAATAAATATTTGGGATGCCTTTTTAAGTTGTGTTCAGATTGCACAGCTCTTGCCCACCTGACAAGCCTAATTCCTGAGAAATAGAATGTTTATGGACATAAAGTGTGCACTTAGTACCTTTTTGAGTTGATGAGTAATGTTTTAACCTTTATTTTTGCAGCTGGCTGTGTTGAATCAGGAGAAAATGTAACAAACACCACATATGTTTTCTCCAGAAACAATCTTAAAAGGTAGAGTTTAATAAGATCAAAATATCTTTTTATTTAAAAAAAAATGCTGTTTTTTTGAAATACTGATTCTTTATAAAAGGCCCGTGGGTCACCTGCCATGTCCTGGAAAGGCAACTCTTGCTGTTCGCTGCTGCCCGGTCTACTTTGAATTGAGACACGCATTTAATAAAGGTACTGTAAATCCTTTAGGGAGTATGATTTTACAGCAAATATGTGAAAAGGTCAACGTGGCTATTTGCTATTCTCTGCCCCAGCCTTTTAACATTCCATTAAGATAGTGTTGTACCACATCTTAGAAGCTGTTTCCTGATTCTAAGACCCTGAATTCACCTTAAGTACCTTGTGAGTAGCTTTTGATATAGGGGATAAATGTTCTTACTTGGCCTCTTAGGCTACAGAAACACTGTTTAATATTTTTCTTTAACTTTTAAACATTTTGTGTGAGTAAAAGTAAATAACTTGGCTGAGCACTAAAGGAGTGACACAGTGAAATATTTTGTGTTAGTCTCAACTACCCACATCACAGAAGCACCAGAGAGTTGGTATAGTTTGCAACAACCATTGATGTTTATTCAAGGAGGCCAGTCCTGAAGCAGTGCTGGTGTTACTGGCCAGAACAGGAGTTCTGAGCTCGGGAAAGAATTGTATGAAGTTGCATGAGAACTTACCTGGAGATTAAAACCCAGCCTTATTGTGAAACCAGTGGGTCCAGGTGTGTTTATATTGTAACAAGACTGGTCTTACTCTGGTGAAAAGGCAGAGCTTTGCTCCTTTCTTTAGAGGGTCAATTTATAGTATTCCTTGCGGGATTTAGAGATTACCTGTTACTGTGTCTGTATTTTCATCATAATCTTTAAATCCACTGTAATGGTATATTACAAAGTAAGGAGGTGAGTGTCTGCTGTTGGTCTCTGTAGCTCCTTTAAACAGTGTTTAGTTTCTGCAACATACACCCAGAAAAGTGAAAGTCTGTGGTAGTCTAGAAATCTAGAGATTTGAGTACCTTACATAATGTTAATGGCCTGTCTGGTTTAGTGTATAGCTTCCATAATCATCACAGAACAGAACAGGAGCTCTATATACTAGGAATTTCTGAAAGCAGCTAGATAGCACTCTGCTTCCAATGGAAGTTGGAATAATTTGGCCTTACGAAGAACTAATGTTGCAATGAAAAGACTAGCTAGGAGCTGAACCCAAGATAATGCAAATAGAGCTAAATCCATTGTTTTGACTGAATCGTCAAATACTGAATACAAATATACAGAAATTTATTGTGACCTTGATTTACACTGTATCCTAATGGGGGGGGGGGTGTTCGGACTTTTATACTAAAGTGCATATGAACGTGCTGAAAAGTTTCAGTTGAAAAAATTTTACAATCTTTATAAAACAAAATAATAGTGATCCAGATGCACAAAACTTCTGCCAATTTCTCTGTCTTAAGCTAAGACAGTAGAGGGCAAACTTCAGGCAACAGAAACATTAGTGTGTGACATTAAATTTCACATTTTATAGAAGTGCTGTCTACTCAGCCATTGTCTTGATACTGATTAATAGTGAAATTTTTATTTAGATTCATGACTAAGCTAGTGCAGTTACTACTTTGCAATGAATACAAGAAAGAATTCTGAATGTGTTAATTTCTTTGCATTCTAGATGAAATCAGTCAGAAATCAGCTCCTGCTCTATTTAATCTGCCGTATCGATTGGTGTTTGCTGTTGCTTCAGAAGACTCTGTGCTTTTTTATGATACTGAGCAGTTCTTCCCCTTTGGTTACGTTTCTAACATACATTATCACACCCTGAGTGACATTTCATGGTAGGTAATTGTTATATTGTTAAGATTTGTTGTGATGGAAGTGTCCTTTTTACATGTTGAAGTTCTGCATGTCTTGACTCTTGCTTTATTTTTATGTTTTGTTTATGATACACATGGTCACTGTCATCGCAGTGTCTGAACAGCAAGATGCCTCTTTCTTGCCCTGTAAACTGGAGAATTATGGTTCTTTTATCAGTTGGGAAACAAGGTGCAAGCACCCCAAGGACAAGCAGATGGACATTTTAATGGAAGCTAATGTCCTGGGTACCCATGAGAAGTGCTCATTGTTCGAGCAGCGTAACTAGTAATAATGAAGTTATTCGGAGGCTTTGGAGGTCATCTCTCTCAGCTCAGGTGTCTGTATCCTGGCCAAATTCTGCTTTATCTGCAGAGTTCTGCTTAGTGGTTCTTCATGTATGGGACAAAGTAATTTATCTGACTTGATGTGGGGAGTCAGAACTGGAGCTGCAAATTGAACCCAAGCCTTGAAATCAGGATACACCTCTCTGCTAGACAAGGCTGCTTCTCTCATGCCTTTTTAGCCTTTCTTCCTCTAAGCTGAGGACCACTTGGAGGCATCTTTTTCAGGTTATAATTGATGCTCAGACACTGTGAAAACCATTGTGTGCCAGGAGAAGGGGAGTGGGAGAGAGTAGAAAATCAAATGGTTTTAATCAGTGATAGACATTATCTGGTGAAATGAGTGTGAAGACCCTGTTCAGGTGAGCACCACGGTGATTCTGTGCATTGCCTCTACTTAGCACAAGGAGCACAGCCAAGGAGCTTGAACTGCTCTGCTGGTCTGAATGAGGAGAGCAGCAATATTTCAGAAACTGTGAGCGAAGATTTGTGTACCTGCAGTTGAACCATACTTTGTGCCAGCTCAAGTGCATGCAGGTGCTGGCAGCAGCATATTACAGGTGATCACAGATGACACCAGAGGGATTAAATCAGATGCAAAGGCCAGAATTGAAGATCTTTTGTTCATTTGAATTGGATGGCTGTCACTTGACTGAAGTTTTATTTAAATGTACATGTACTTGGGGAAGGGAAGAGGAAAAGACAGGTACAGTGTGTGTTATAGATGGGGAATAAGGGTTGAAGAAAAGTTCTGACCTTTACTCTTAATGGAAAAAAACTTACAAATAGGTCCAGCGATGGAGCCTTTCTTGCTATTTCTTCCACGGATGGATACTGTTCATTTGTTACCTTTGAGAAGGGTGAACTGGGAATACCACTGAAGGAGAAGCCACAGATAAATGTCAGGACTTCTGGTGCAACTGAGAAGAAAGTGAAAAAGAGCCAGTCACACAAAGTCATTTCCCCAGGCTCTAGACTGACAGAGGGTACTCCTCCCAGCAGGGTCACTGATCCCAGCACTCCAACTCTGCAACCAAAAACACCCACAGCTGCTGGTAAGGACTTGCCTTCCACATCTGTTGGCCTAAGAAATGTTCCAGTCTCATCCCCAGATGAGAGGAAAATCAGCCAGCCAGCCAGCCAGAGCACTAAAGTAAACCAGCCCAGGAGGATTACTCTCAACACTTTACAAGCATGGAGCAAGACGCCAAGGTGAGATTTATATTGCTGTTTCCAGTCATAAATATGAAGGCCAAGACAAGCTGTGCTTGTGCTACATTTAAAGGGTTGAGGTTTAGACATAAATTCCTAGCCCTGTGTCATGGTGGTAGCTGTTTTGACATGGAACTTTTGTCAAAATGTCAAAAGGTCAAAATGTCTCCTGACTTCTGAATGTACAGCTTTTATATTTCTGTCTGAAATGTGAGGCAGTAGCAAAGCTAACCTGACCGGTACACCTTGTCCATATGGCAGCAAAAGGTGTATGTCTTCAGGTCCCATTTTCTGTACACAAACAGTACCTGAAGCCTTCAGCTGACAAGGACTATTTAAAGTCCCTTCTGACAAATATTTTAAGAAGTAAAGAGTACGAGTCTAGAGAGACCCTCAGTGTGCACAGTCACGGGTGTGGGACTTAATGCATTGATTAAGGTTATTTCCTAAGATCTAGATGTCTTCAGAAATTGCCCGTAATCCATGTATTGATGGTCACACAGCCTGCAACATACTATCTTGAGCTGGCGTGCAGCAATAGGGAGACAGTCATGCAAACAGAGATCTTGACCTTGTCAGCAAAACAAAGCCACTTTATAATTAAAGGAGTTTATTAGAATTTCTCATAGGAATGCTTTAATGTAGGTGGCTAGGGAGGAAGTGGTGAACAAGAAGGCAGGATTCTGGATTTCATGAACAATCACAAAGAAAAATCTTGGACAAGTTTGTTTCAGGATGATGGCTTTCTACACACGGATGTTTATCTCTACTGGAACGAACAAGTCAGAGGGTTGTAGGTAGTTGAAGGTGACTTTTGTCTGGAGGGCAGTAGAGTGACTGATGGAGTTAATTAATTTTTTTGAGAGAGATAAACTATATTGAATCCTATCATAATTATTCCATCAGTGTCATCTTGTAGTATGGTGCTGCATGTAAGGTTGTTTTTTAATGGTTTAGTTAATCCTCCACCACTCTCGTGCTTACATGCCAACCAGAAGAGATTTAGCAGAAGAAAACAGAAAATGTGACATAAAGAAAAGGCCTTTTTTTCCTTTCTTTTTTTCCCCCCCTTACACTAATTGTTAGTGGACCTTAGTGGGCAAAAGAATTCCCTAGAGTTTTATGAATCTAAAGCGTTAACATGGACAGGGCTAGCAGAGGTAACTGGAAGCCTTACCAGGTACCAAGAAACAGGGTAAAATCCTTGCCTTTGCAGCCAGTCTTAATTTTAAAATATTTGACCAAGTTGCTATGCTCTGAAAGTGAATATCCAGCATTGTGTCACATATGCAAAAGTACTTTCTAGTAAAAAAGCTGAATAGTGGTATTTAAAATAATTCTGTAAAAAATGCTCAATTCAACATAAGAAGGAAAAAAGCGTAGTAAAATATATCTACCCTACATCTAAATTTAACTGGTTCTATCTAAAGTAAATCTTTAAATAAAATACTTGTGGAAATGGGGGCTTTAAAAGCATTTGAACTGTTTCTGCTCTTTTAAAGGAGAGTAAACTTGATTCCACTTAAGCCAGATAGACCAGCCTCTGCATATACAGATACGGTTCCTATACCTCCTTCCTCCGAGCAGGAAAATGGTAAGCTTTTGTGGCTAGTAATATCCAGCAAAGTCGTTTGACAATCAGTTCTTTCCATTATAGACTTCTTTTTTAAGTTATAAAGGTCTTGAATCAAGCACAAACCTAAACTTAATTGCAGGTTCTAAAGCTCCTTTATTGCCTTGGTCTTTGAAAAGTGCTTTTGCCAATATGAAATGCGTTCTCACTGCGGTTGCTCTTGGGCAACTGCTTGTGTGACAATATATCACTACATTTTTTGTGGTAATGGGTGCATTAGCTGACCTGAATGTAACATCTTCCAGGTCATACTGGTGGGTTTTAAAGACCTTTGTACTGTCAGCAGATCATTGTGTAAGATGCTGGACTCTCTGAAACCAGTTTCTTTTGAGAGTGCTGAATTGTTGCTGAATTCAGCAAACCAATTTACTTTCTTAATCTGGCTTTACTTAACTTAAATGATTTTCTTATCTGCCTGTTTCAGAGGGGCCATTACCATCTGATGACAGTCTCCAAAATCCCCCAGCATCTAAACGTCCTAGAACTGAGGAAATGTCTCTTCCTACGTCTGCTGAAGATCAAATCAGCTGCGATTCAAACAAATAAAGACTAAGCTTTTATTAGACTCTACACAGTCTGAAGGCAATGTAGCTGTATCTGAAAGTGCATTTCTTTTCGCAAGTGTTAAAGGCTCAATTCCTGACTGAAGTACATATGCATATTTGGCGTAGTGCTGTGAAGAAAGAAGCTGGCGGTAGAAGACAACGAGTTTCAGGAATGTAGCTTTGCAGAAGACAAAATAGTTGGGAAGTGACTTCTAAGTGCATTTCTATTTCTTGAAGGCAGCATTCTTAAAGAAATGCCACACCTTAAGGAAATCAGGGAAATCTGGGTATTGAAAAGCCATACAGTAACCTAAGAGTCTCCATCAGAGTCCCTAAGCTGATGTTTATAAACTATTACGTCTTCCAGCAACCTGTCTGGCAAAAGAAAGAATTTCTAAGGACTTAAATGCATTCATAATGATTTGGTATGGTTTAAGACCAAAAAACCAGTATCATTCGGACATCTTGGCTTACGTGTTTAGCAATGTGCAAAGTAATTCACACTCACCAGTACATGTGGAATGGAAGCTGATGTTCACATGCTCTGAATGCAGCAGCATACAATATGACTGCTATGACTGAAACAGAAATCAGAACTTGTAACTGCAAGAAAAAAGGTGGCAAAAGGAAGAAACCCTCTGAAGTCCTGTTATAAGCATTAAAGAGCAGAAGAAAGTTCTTAATTGTTCTGTTTTGGAACTCAAAAAAAAATGCAGACTTGAGATTTTCCTGAGGCAGCAGGGTTTGAGCGTATACATTAGAAGTTTCCCCATTTTCCTTTTTCCAAATCTGAAATCCCTTAGCCAATAAACTGTAATATAAATCCAATGTATATGAAACTTGTGAAAGTTCATTGCTTTTTAGCATTTAATACTTGCTATATAATTGAACTAAGACATACAATTTGAAAACAAGAAGATCAAAATATTTGAAAATCACTATACTCAGTTTTCTATGGTGGACAGACTTAGCTACCGGAAGTAGAATGCTCAGCCACAGTGTGCTGAGCTTGTCCACTTAGTTTTCTTTGACATCATGTACTTATTTTTAAAAAGTAAGATAATTCTTAAAATGTGAATAGTCATTCTAGCTCATAGCTATAAGGTGGGTTTTTTTATTCTAGCATCTAGAAGTTTTAAACAGAATTTTCTCTTATGATTTAGCCTACTCTTCTATCATTTGAAGTTCCACAACACACAGGAGGGGAAAGCTGCAATTCAAATTAAAGCTCTTTGACTTTTGTCCTTCCTTGGATTTGGTTGTTTTTGAGGTTTGTAATTTACTTAGTATTTGTTTTCTGTCTTTACCCAAACTTGTGTTTTCTTCTAGTGAGGAATATAATGACTTAATTACCAAGCAAAGCCAGATTCAAAACTGTTTTTCCCAAAAAAGTTCATAGAAATATCCAAATTAAAGCTCTATAGAGCTATATGAATTGATAGCTAAAGCAGGTGTTTGTAACTATCAGGCATTGCCAGACTTGCCATTTTATGTTTTGTCCGGTTTGAGTTACAAGAATACTGGTATTTCATCTTTCTGTGGGACAGTTAACCACTTAGTACACTGCTGCAGTCTTTCATTTTGTGCACTGCAAAGGATCCTTTGAATTCAAACTTACACTTTTAAATACTGATTGCACAAGTATATATTTTTTTTTAAATAACAGTGTATTTCAATGTAAACTACTCTTTCTGTTGAAAGCTAGTAGGTTAGGTGTATTATTTTAGTGTTATTGGCACACCTGGTCCCTGTGGTCTTCAGTCTTCGGATTCAATTACTTGCCAGAGTATTCCTCTTTATTTCATACCATAACCATTCAGGTGACATCAGCATTTGTTTATATGGTTGCTCAGCTTATTTTCACTCTGCCTTGCAATCTAATTGGAGCTGTGAACTTAATGTTGCTTCCACTGCTTCCAACTGGAGATTTCCACATCATATCTGTCAGAATGCTCTACCTGGTATTTTGCCTTCCCTAATAGGACTTTTTTCCCCCTTCAGTTCTAGTTGTCTCTTGCCATTATGATTTCCTACTTCTCTGTTTATCCTGTTACTTGCTACTTTGTGGTCAAATTTACACGGCACTAGGTTTTTAACTTTTTCGTGTAAATAGATGCGTACCATCATTCATATAATAAATTAACCCTGTGACAGTCAGAACTCTAGATTCCTGGGTTTTCTCATCCCTGTTCCAGTCTCCAAGGTGCCCCACCCACACAGCAATCATTTCTCACGCTGTTTATAGAAAGCGGGTTCATGTTTTGTTCTCAGTCGTGCCCTAGATTCTGCTCCAAGACAGAACATGCCCAGTGCTATTTCAGTTCTTTCTCAAGTGCTTCATAGGCTGATGTATTCCATAGACGTCATTCTTTCAAGGGTGCTCTTCAGTCGAGGTTTGACTTAAATGTTATTTTTAATTGGCCAACTGAATTGTTTGTACTTCGAATGGAACCTGAGTTCATATTTCAGCTGTTAAGTGTGGTGTAGGTGTCATCTTCTTAGGTCACATCTTGCTCAGTGCCTTCTGTAAGGATCTTATCCACTCTAAGGACTATTACCTGCTTGTACTATCTTGATGAGATAGCATTATGGAAAAATGTCCTATCTACATCTTTCAGCCTCACAGCAGTAACAAAAAGGGAACTGAACTCATAGAAGTAACTTCTGTAAGAGGCAGCAACTTCCTGTTAAACTCTGGGAACCATGGAGCTGTTCATTTGGGATGTCCAAGCCCTGTTTCCATCAGCACAGTTGGTACCAGTGCGTGTCAGTGTCCCACAGGCCATGCCCTTTTTTCACAAGTTCAGTGAAGGGTTATAAAAGCCCAGGCTGCAGCAGCACAAAGCGTGGGACTTCTATGTAAAAGAAAGTGCAGAGCAACCGCTGGATGTCACTCTTCTAACAGGATTCCTCCTCCCAGGGTTCTGGCGGAAAAGTGCTACTGGCAGCAAGACAGGGAAAGAAAACACGGTTTTCTTTTTAAAAACGAGTTGTAGGTGAATCTATATTACAAATGTATGTTATCACCAAATGAATTGTTTCCCTTGTTTCTACAAACTTCCTTCTAAGAAGACAGGGTTTGCTTTCTTATGAATTACTTCCCTTAGCCAGTTATAAAATGTAAGTCCATACCATGATAGCATTTCTCTGTTGGGAGATGTGAAATGGTAAGCCTGAAATGCCACATGCAGCCCCAAACTTTCCAAGAATGTCTTTAAGCATCATTTCTGTTGAAAAACTCCTTGAAGAGGGAATGTGAGGGAGCTGCAAGGCATGTGGACCATCTGGTTAGTATGCCCTCCAGCTTCAGCCAGCTTTCACTTGTCATGCCATGACTTCCCAAGTTGTGATGCACAGATTGCTACAGGTACACAAAGTATTTCAACATCCAGGAAACGCTGCTGCTGCTACCTCCTCCCGGTCTGGGTGGGAGCTGGGGGGAAGGAAAAAAAAAAAATGTTTGCATGCTCCACATATAAGTCAAACACCAGTTAATCATATGTGTCCATATAACAATCATTATAGAATCACAGAGTAGTTTGGGTTGGAAGGGACCACCATCTGCCTTAAAAGATTGCACTGACATGTTATTTGTCTTCCAGCCCATTAAAAGGCAATGAAAAAGATGAGAGCAGAGTCACGCAAAGCTGCTGGTCTCCAGGAGAGAGTGGCCATGGAGGGTGACCGGTGTAAGGACTCTATGCAAACGCTCCTCACACATGAAATGTGGTCTGTGTGCAAGAACATAAAGTACAGCTCCTTACTTATGTGTCACTTTTTATTTCTCTCTGGAAAGGCACTTCTTGCTGCTTCCACCATGTGTCAGGCTAGTGCTGCCCAGTCAACAATCTGTCTTTTCCATTGCTGAGTTACTGCTAGCTAAAATCATAAGGATCGCTTGCTGCTCAACAACGTATGTGGACATACCACCTTAAAAACCAAATACTTTTGTGAGCCACTGAACTAGTGAGCCCTTGTTTCATATGGATATATAGCTAATTGCACTAGTGGTTTCAAATAGATTTTGCAGCTTTTTAGATGGGGGAGGATTCTCTACTGTCTTGCTCCTGGAAAGACTTTCTGTTGTGTAATAATGCTTAATTTTTAGGCAGCTAGACATCATGCTGCCTGTACTATTGATGTTAGTTTTAATTTTTCTTCTATCCATCTACCTATATTAATACATCTTGTAATTATTTAACTACTGCCTTTTTGTCAAGATTTGGTTGATATTTGCCTAGGGATACAAAACAGAATCTTTGTATTGTGTATGCACATTCTCTATGTTTACATAAACTTCATTTCTTATAAAGGAAAACAGGTTTACCAAGTGACTATATTGTATGTATGTTTTCTGCTATAGCAGCTGCAGGATCATGAAGAAGAGGCAGACTGGAGTGATAATGCACGGCATCATAAGTTACATGATAACAGGATTTGCTATATGAAACCTATCAACTTTTCAGACTGCTCTTTTCTTTGTGCTACTATAAACAATTTTCTGTTGCAGTTCAAAGACTCTAGATGATTGCTACACAGCAATAGCAAATTTTATTGTGGCATTTATGTAGACAAATTAGTATTACAACCACAAATGAAACTGGAGGGAGATCATTCCCAAACATAGCATACAAGGGACAGATTTTCAGAAGCACTAAGAGCTCATGGAGGGCCTGGACTAGATGATCTTTAAAGGTCACTCCCAACCTAAACCATTCTATGATTCTATGATAAGCAGAGGCTGCAGACTGATGTGTTGAGCAGTACTGTTTGGTCAGTATCTAAAAGCTCCTACAAAGAGAACGTACAGCTTTTTAATATAAAGAATCATAAGGAAGCAGTGGTTGTTTTATCAGTCCACTTCTAACTCACCTTGTAGATCAATAAACATCTCTCACAAACAGTATCTCCCTTCTGCTCAATGATTTTTGCTAACATACAAGTATGTCTGGGCAAATATAGGAGATGTGCTACCTGAAATCTTGGTAGACAGACAAGGAA